AACATTGGAAGGGCTGACAAACTATGGCCCCCAGGATAAATCTGGCCATTGTTCAGCTCTTTTGTAAATAAAGTTTTATTGAAACACAGTCATGTTTATTCATTTATGTTTGTCGTTGACTGCTTTTGCCCTACAATGGCAGAGTGTATGACTTAAAAGCCCTTAACTATTTACCATTTGGGCAAAGACAAGAACATTTTCTAACCTTTCCATTAGACCATTCAAACTAGATTTCATTTTAACGTTAAGACATCAAGTTATTAATCAATGTGAACTTACAGTACTCAATGCAACCAGAATCCTACTAAATGCCATCTGCACAGAACTCCATAAGGCTCCTGTTAGAGTCTTCTCTCAAACAAATGCTTGGCTGCATTGCACCTTGGACATTCTATTTGCAGTTTGCCATCCTTTTTAACCAATTAACAACTTGCCTTCTTTACATTATCCCTCTCTGCTGCCCCCAACATAGTGTATTCCTATTGCCATATTTGTGTGCTATGATATTTAGAAATTGCTTCTTCAGGTTTGTAAGACTCCACAGAAATCATCACTGATTCCTCAGGAAGGGTGTTTTGGAATGGTTCACTTTCCTCACCATTTACAACTTATGTCTAGAATTGCATATAATCCTGAAAATGTATCATTCACCAGATACTCTGAGAAAATGAGTTAACATACTGTTACGTATTTATTCAAATTATGTAGACCCAGAGAAGAAACAGTCATATGGAGGTCTAGTTGGTAAAACAAAAAATTCTCTTAAAAAGAATAGATAATATTTAAATTCTAAAATAAGCTGGAGCTGGGCGCTATGGCTCACGCTTGTAATCCCAGCATTTTGGGAGCCAGGGTGGGAGGATTGCTTGAGCTCAGGAGTTCAAGACCACCCTGGGAAATACAGTAAAATCTCATCACTACAAAATATAAAAAAAAATAGCCAGGCATGGTGGTGCACGCCTGTAGTCCCAGCTACTTGGGGTATTCGGGTAGGAGGATCACTTGAGCCCAGGAGGTCGAGGCTGCAGTGAACTGTGATTGTGCTGCTGCACTCCAGTCTGGGTGACAGAGCAAGACCCTTTCTCAAAGAAATGAATGAATGAATGAATGAATGAATGAATGAATAAAGTAATCTGGAAAATGCAACTAATAGAAATAATAGTTTACATTTTAGTCTCAAAAGAAATAGGTATCTTATGGAAGTGATAGAAAGATTTGGAAAGGCTGGAAAATATCTTTTCTTAGTTAATATTTGAATGTTTATAATTTTCTGTCAATTTGTAAGAATATGTGATGACATTTATTCTGACGCTTATTTTACTAGGTATAGATTTTTTTCTGTAATTGTGAGAAATATACTGTTAAATAGGAAACAGAGTTGATGTTATAAATAATGTTTTCTTGCAGAAATTATGAACAAATAAATATTCTCCTTCTGCTTTTTCCTGTCTAGAACAGTGTCTGGAATACAGTAGATGCTCAATAAATTATTGAATAAATTAATAAATAAAATTAAGTTGAAGTCACATTCTATATTAATGGTCTTGAAAAATACTAATTTTTTTCACTGGGATTATGATTCCTGAATAAGTTTGTGACTATATTTTTGGCTTTCGCTTATTACAGAATCACTTAAAATAAGGTTGTTGCCTGGGGAAACATTTGGGCAACATGCAAGGAGGATTGCCCAACCTGATTCTAATTCTTGTGTATGGTTCACTAGTAAGCAGTCATGGAAGGACTCAACTTCCATATTTATTTTGAATACTTGTTTCAAGTATTCAAATAAATAAGTTGGCTTATTAAAATTAATATGCCAATAAGGATAGACAAATAGATTCATGTAACAGGATAGTTAGTCCAGAAGCATATGGTCAATTTACATACATGATCAATTCATTTTTCATGAAGATGTCAACACAGTTCAATGGAGAGAGGAAAATCTTTTTAACAAATGAGAGTGGAACAACAGGATTCACACAGGGAGAAAATATCAACTCCTAACTTTCACTGCACACAAAAATTAACTCAAGATGGATCATGGAACTTAATATAAAAGTAAAAATGATAAAACTTTAAGAAGATAGTATCTATGATCCTAATATTTGCAAAGATTTGTTAGACAAAACACAAAAAGAACTAAGTATAAAAGAAAAATATAATAAATTATACTTTCTCTTAATTATAAACTTCTGCACATTAAAAAAAATTAAGGAAATTAAAAGGCAAGACATAGATTGGGAAGAAATGCTTGCAAGACATATATTTAAAAATTGAATTATCTAAAAATTTAACTCGATATAGTTAAACCTATGCCTACCCAATGATATTGTCATTTTAAATAATTACCTAAGAAAAATGAAAGTATATGTCCACAAAAAGTCATTTACAAATGTTTACAGTAGCTTTACTCATAGTAGTGAAAAACTGGGAATAACATAAACATACATCAATAGATAAATGAACACAAAATTATAGCATATTCATACAGTAGAATGTTGTTTCACAATACAAATGAACAAACTACTAATATACACTACATGGATCCCTTTGAATAATGTGCTGCTAAAAAAGTCAAATACAAAAGAAGTATAGGTACTGAATTATTCCATTTATATGAAACCCTAGAATAAGCAAAGCTAATCTGTAGTGACAGAAAGTATATCAGTGATTGTTTGGTGGGTAGGTGCTTGAATGGAAAATTGACTACAAAGGTTATGGACACTTTCTTTTATTTATATCTTTGTTGGTGACATGGATATAATCATTTGTCAAAACTCATCAAATTGTGTACTTAAAATGGGTGCATTTTATGCATTTTATTGTATGTGAGTTATACATTAATGAAAAAGACATTAAAAAGAAAAAAATGTTAAATGGGTAAAAGGTATGAATAGATAATTTTTAAAAAGATACAAATCTCCAAGAAGCTTATGAAAAGTACTCCATTAGTCATCAGGAATATGCAAATTGTGACCACTGTGAGATGTTATTCCATATTTATCGCAAACATCTACCCTATCACTCATTAGTTTCACTCCTGGGTCCGAATCCAAAATAAATAAGGACATATATCTACTAAGACTTGTGCAGGCTTCCTTTTCCCCTCACATATAAGTGAGATCACACAGTGTTTGTCTTTCGTATCTGGCTTATTTCACTTAGTATAATGTCCTCAAGATTCATCCATGTTGTTGAAAATAGCAGAATTTTCTTCTTTTTTATGGTTCAATAATATTCTATTATATGTTTATACCACATTTTCTTTATCCATTTATCTGTTGATAGATAATTTGTTCCTATATATTGACCATTGTAAATAATGCTGCAGTTAACAGGGGAGTGTAGATATCTCTTTTATATACTAATTTCATTTTCTTTGGATGTATACCCAGCAGTGGGATTGCTAGATCAGATGGTAGTTCTCCTTTTAACTTTTTGAGGAACTTCCATATTGTTTTCCATAATGGTTATATTAAATTACAATCCCACAGACAGTGTATAAGCGTTCCCTTTTCTCCACATTCTCACCAACACTTGTTATCTTTTATCTTTTTAACAGTCATTCTCACAAATATATGGTAATATCTCCTCGTGATTTTTATTTGCATTTCCCTGTTGATTAGTGATGGTGAGCATCTTCCTATACCTACCTGCTGAGTGCAATGATGGTTACCATGAGTGGAGGATGAGGTGAAGGGAAGATAGGAAAAGGGTACAAACCTTCAGCTATAGGTGAGTAAATGCTAGAAACCTAATGTACAGCATTGTGACTATAATTAAGAATTATTATAATTAATAATTGAAATGTGTTAAGATAGTAGATCCCAAGCATTCTCACCACACCCAAAAAAGGTAACTATGTGATATGATGAATACTTTAATTAGCTTGATTGTGGTAATCATTTCACAATGTCTACAGATACCAACACATTTCACGATAAACCCCAAATATGTGTGATTTTCATTTGTCAATCATACCTCAATAAAGCAGGAAAAAAATTAGACATAAAAAATAAAATTAGGAGAAAAATATTTTGTGCAAGAATGTTTATAGCTGCTTTAGCTATATGAGGCCCAAACTAGAAAAAAAAAATCAATATAATAAACAAATGTAGAATACGCATATAATGCAATTATACTTACCTTTAAAAAGAGTTGTACTACTGACTTAAAAAGTCACATTGAAATGTTTGAAAAAACATTCTGCCAAACCAGAGACATCAGTTCAACAGTATAATATATATGGTATCATTCTATTCACATAAAGTTCATGAATGGCCAAGTATTCTTTGGGGATAGAAATCAAAACAGAGGCCACCTATGGAGGGAAGACTGGCTGGAAAGGATGTGAGGAAACATTCTGGGGTGAAAGAAATGTCCCTTGCCCTGACTGAGGTGACCATGACACGGTTGTATGTACCTGTTAAACACATTGCTTTTAGAAACTTGAATTTAAGAACTCCAGAGTGGTTACAATTTACCCCACGTCGATTTTATCTCAAATAATTAAAAAAAAAAAAAGCCATGACAATTGAGTAATTACAGCCTTTAACACCCCTTTTCTGTCAGGGATAATCTGGCTAATAAGCATATAGTTCTGAATTAATGTTAAAACCCTACTTCATCTACTTTTCTTTGAAGAAAGTTATTTTAAAAATCATTCTTTTAAATACAATTTTATTATCTTTTAGTATTAGAACATTTAATCCATAGTTCATTCGTCATTGCCAGCATCCAAAGAAGTAAAATGACATTTATTGTTTTGTTTAGTAGTACTTGAGATTTTTCACTTAAGAACCAATTATTATTATTATCATTTGGATTTATTTTCTATAGCAAGGAAATATTTACTGAATACTGGTGAGAAGCCAATGGAAGAGACCAAGAATGTCTAAGAGAAGCAGTTGTTATTAGTTGAAAGGTTTGAGATTTAAGACCTACCAGACAACAGAGAATGCTCTCCGCGAGAGCCTCACCTTGTGACATTTGTTCTTTACCTTTTTAGTTTGGTTTTTAGTGTGGCATGCTGAGCACCTCTGAGTTTTCAGGGAAGGAGCTGATGGAAACAGGAACAGAATAGCTGGGACCTCCAAGATTCACATTCCTCGCAGGAGTTGGTGTGAGTTTTTGAGGCTGCTGAGTAACAGGAACCGCAGCCTTTGTGGCCTGGATGTATCCTGGCAACCTGTCAACAAAAGGGACAGGACTGAGTTCTCTAGTAACTGATGGGAAACAGAGAGCAAAGTAGGTATGGATTTCAGCTTTCTTTTAAATTGACTCCAGGAACTTTGCCGACGGACTCAGCAACCAACAGGGACAGATAAATTTAAGTCACAGGCTCTTCTTGCTGTAGAAACACAACATTTTATTTTAAGGAAGAAAAGAAAACAATATTTACTGATTATCTTATTGATCTTTTCTAGGGACTTTAAAAATACTGTGACGGTTAATATTGACTGTCAACTTGATTGGATTGAAAGATGCAAAGTATTGTTCCTGGGTGTGTCTGTGAGGGTGCTGCCAAAGGAGAATAACATCTGAGTCAGTGGACTGGGAAAGGCAGACCCACCCTCAATCTGGGTGGGCACCATCTAATCAGCTGCCAGTGCGGCCAGAATAAAGCAGGCAAAAGGTGGAAGGACTTGACTTGCTGAGTCTTCTGGTCTTCAGCTTTCTCCTGTGCTGGATGCTTCCTGCCCTGGAACATTGGACTCCAGGTCTTCAGCTTTTGGACTCTTGGACTTACACCAGGGGTTTGCCAGGGGCTCTCGGGACTTTGGCCACAGACTGAAGGTTGCACTGTTGGCGTCCCTACTTTTGAGGTTTCTCTACTTCTCAGCTTGCAGATGATCTATTGTGGAATTTCACCTTGTGATTGTGTGAGTCAATACATCTTAATAAACTCCCTGTCATATATATATCTATTCTATTAGTTCTGTCCCTCTAGAGAACCCTGACTAATACCAATACCATCTATATAGAAGAGCTTGGGCTGGGCGCGGTGGCTCACACCTGCAATCCCAACACTTTGGGAGGCTGAGGCGGGTGGATTACTTGAGGTCAGGAGTTCAATACCAGCCTGGTCAACATGGTGAAACCCAGTCTGTACTAATAATACAAAAATTAGCCAGGCGTGGTGGCACACACCTGTAATCCCAGCTATTTGGGAGACTGAGGCAGGAGATTCGTTTGAATCCTAGAGGTGGAGGTTGCTGTGAGCCAAGATTGCGTCATTGCACTCCAGACCGCGCGACAAGAGTGAAACTCCATCAAAAAAAAAAAAAAAAGAAAAAAAAAGAAGGAAAGAAAAAAGAAAAAGACGATGAAGATCTTGTTCTCCTCTAAAGATGGATAGTCTCCGTGACTCTCAAAGCGTGTCCTATGCTTTGATCTAAAATGCAAGCAACTACAAGATGCAGAAGCTATGCTTTCTATTTTTCTAACATGTCCTAAGACATAGAAAACATTTTAAAAACTAAGGCCAGTATTTAAAAATACATCTGAAGTAGTGTTTACAAGATTCATATTTTAAAATATTCTGAGATATTAAGATAATTGTAGTACAATTCCACAATGAAATACTCTGCAAACATTAAAGCTTATGAGGCAATAGTTTATTGACCTGGGAAAAAGTTTACAATGTATTGCTAAATGAAAAAGAGAAGCTAAAAAACAGAATAAATTGTATAATCTCATCAAATTATTTGTGTGTGCTCATGTGCACACAAACACACAATTAACTCAAAGAATATACACCCCAGTGTTAACAGTGGTTATCTGTGAGTGGTGAGATTAAAGAACATTTTACTGAATGTTCCTTACTGGTTAGCAAAAAAAAAAAAAAAAAAGAACAAAAACTTGACCTCTAATACTCCCCAACCTTGCCCCGTGTCCCCAGATAATGTAACTGGGATATGGAGGTAATTCACAGGACTCTTAATTCTACTGAAGTGACTCTTCAGTCCACACAGTCTAGAGATCCCAAGGGACAGTAACATTTCACATTCTAACTTGCAGTACTGCTCTAACTATTCTAGATATCTAATTTATGATATAATATAAAATATTTCTAATTTAGATGCTTCTGAAATCATAAGATACCATATACAAATAATAATACGTGCATACAATGACATAGAGCTGACATAATATCAGTGACTAAATGTTGAGATAGGGGCAAGAAAACCGTTTTACATGTTGCCTTTTACTGACCTGTAGGCCCCTAGTTAACGCACTTTTCACCTTACAAAAACTGCATGTTTTATCGGCCCTATTGTGAACTAAATGTGATCTTTCTCAAAAGAAAGTGCCCAATAAATAAACATTATTTCAAATGCACACCCAATATTCAGTCCAGTGGCTGGCTATTTGGGCCAGATGGCAGAAGAAGAGACAGGAAGTGTTGGCCTATGAGAGGACAACCTCAGGAAAACATCACGAGAGTGGATATTTCTGAGCTAAAGCAGGGCAGAGTCTCTATCCTGGCTGGAGCAACTCTTAGGAGGCCCAAGAATAACAGAGCTTGCAGGCTTTGTTAGCTGTAGCTAATGGTGCACTCACGACCCGCTCTTCCCTGGTGCGGTGGCCGAGTTGCCAGCTGCTATTCTGTATTCATCGAAGCTGCTTCTAAAACTGGCTGGAGTGGAGCCTTTGTTTCTCAAATTCTGGACTCATTTTTAATTCACGGGTTTGTAGTTTCAGTCAGAATTGAACTTCTTGGTGTTCAAATGTATTTCATCTTGGCAAAACAGGCATTCCTAGGTGCTCTGTCTCTCTCTCCTTCTCCCTGTCTCTGTGTCTCTCTGGTCTTTTCGAGTGACCAAAACTTTTAAGCTGCTCGTATTTTTTTTTAAAGCATGCGCAGAGGCATCTTGGACATCAAATAGCTCTTACAACACACAACCTTTTGATGATTTAAGTGTAAATGAAGCAGAAACATATGGATTCTATTTTCCATAAATCACACACGGTCCTAAAAAATCAAGGAGGGTATGTATTTTGCACGATGTATTCTGTTTAGTTGAACCCAAAACATCTGAAGAATACTTGGAGATTGATGAATCCAAAATATTTACCCATCCCTATTTATAACATTGTGGGGGAGCCCTTGATTTATGGTGACAACTAAACTGCTTACATCTGTTGAGTGGGCAACCAGCAACCAGTGTGAGCTTCAAAGATAACCGTGTTCCTTCTTCTGTTCTGGCTCCAGGCATTCAAGTCAGCCTTAGATCAAAGACACTGAAGCCTTTACTTGAGCTGGTCTGGTTTGCTCTTGCTTGAGCTTTTCTCACCTAAAACAATTGCCAGTTATTTCAAGTTATGTGATATCCAATCATGCTTGTGTCACTGTGGGATGATGCCAACCTCCAGCAATAATCCAGATCTGACCCCTTGTGGCAGCAGCCCCACCATAAGGAATTCTGGATTATTTTCCCTTCATAAAACCACAGCTGTTGTGCCTGCACAAGCCCCTGACTTTTTCATTAAAGGAATAAATCTCATTTTCATGGAGCAGGAGAAATGCTTCTCCTTGCTGGTATCTCTGCCCATCCTCAAGACTGTTCATTGATGCAAAGTCCAAATCTTACTTTGCAAGCTACCAATAATCCTTTGGAGTTTATTGAAACTTGGCAGAGACTACATGCTGTGAGAAAAAAAAAAAAAAATTGCAATGGCAGCAGCAGGGATCCAAACAGGATGTTCGTGAAGTCTGGCAAAATAGGTCCACTGAGTGCCTTGTTCTCGTCTACCCAATTATTGTTTACTTCATTCTTATCACCTAACTCAGAAGCAGCAGGTTCCAGCCACCTGACTTCTGTTATCTCAAATCCTTTAACCATCCTACAAGGTAGGCATTAGTATCCTTGTTTGACAGATTAGAAAACTGAGGCTCAAGAGCATTAAGCAACTTGCCCCATTGGCAAGGCTATTCCAAAGCAAATCTGGGATGGACATGTGTGTCTTTCTGGTGCCCAGATGGCTTCCCTTTGCTGCCTTCTGCTAGATCTTGCTGCCATATTCCCATGCCCAGCTCATAGAAATAATATCTTCTATGAGTTGCCCAGACTAGTAAACATTTAAAACCTAGACCCTCATGTCCCTGAAACAGGATGCTTGAAGAAACACTGGAGAAACATTATATAAAACATTGAAGAAACATTCCCTGTCCCTAGGAAGGGAGATCAAAAGACAGAAATCCTTCTGTCTGTCCTGGCAATGTTTTCATGATGAGTCCGACCTCAAAAGAGAGAGTCATTTTACAAATATGCCTTTTGTCACAAGAACAGCCTTTGTGTAAATTGAGTTTTATATACTGTACTAGACTGAACTTTAAAATGTCTAAATTTAAAATAGTGCAAAAAGTGTCTTGTGGTAGATTCGAAGGAAAGGAGGAGAGGTGCACTTTAAATACTTTAAAACTTTAAAAGTGTATTGTATTTGATGCACAGGAGTCCTGTCCATCAGATCTTAAATCCTCAAGTAATCCTTGCCCTAAGATAGTATTTCTCAGCCTTTTTGTGTTAGTGTCCCTCTGCCACAAAGACTTTTAAGGTTTATTTTCCTAATCTTCCCTCATCCACTGTGAAATTGTAATATATCACAGATATACCTTATATCTGTTTATGTACTGTGGGTCTTTGGCCCACTACAAACAAATGCAATATCTAAGATTATGTCACCCTTGAAACCAGTTTTCACTGCTTCCATGGGGAATGCATGCTGAGGGTCATACATCCAGAGAGCTGACAGTGTTGGCCTCAGATGATCTCATGGCCAAGCTGATGTACAGAAAAAGTAGCCAGGAGGCTACAGAAACCATGGTAATCCTCCACAAATTGCCTAAACAAAAGAGAGCAGCAAATTTTCCCTTAAGTGTGTTCAAGAGAAAAATGGACTTGTTTGAAAAAGGGCAATAAATTTATGATATTTTCTATGTATTTGAGTGGTTTTATCATAGAAATAGAACTCTTGGAGCTGAAGTGGACTTCAAAATTGCATCAAGTCCAGCCAACTGTTCTCAGGCAAAAAGATATTTTTGGTCTGACTTTTTAAATTGATGAAGCATTTAAGTAGAGAATATTAAGCTATTTGTTTATGTGGCACAGATTTAAATTCTGACACCAAGAAAAAAAATATTATCAGAAGACGCCTTTGCTTTATCTTT